GTGGTGATACAGTGCCTGGGAGGTCGGCTTCGAACACTGGAGGTGTCAGATTCAATTCCGCCAGAGGACAATCTTTGCTCTAACCACGAATTCCCTTGAGCAAGTAACTTCACACACGTGACTTCATACCGGAGCTGCACAGTCGATAGAGCATCTGATTCAGAATCGAGAGATTCAAGGTTCGAGTCCCGCAGGGGTCACTCTTCCTCGTTGCTTCCAAGGTTAGTAAATGATTACAGAGCGGTGGCAGGGTACAAAAGACTCGCACTGTGCTTGTCTCCTAGCTGCTGTCGACTCTGCACGCAAAATACGACTTCCGTGGCTGATGGCGTGAAAATGCATATCAGTGCCCGTACCATTGACTTGATGCAAGGAAGGTCGCCAGAATGGCTTCATCATGAAAGTATAAAGAAGACGGACATTGCAATGGTTGCAATCTTTTTTTTCCAGTTGTTTCTGAACTACGGATTTAAAGCGACTGCAGCGGAGAACTTAAAAATCAGATTTGGTTGCCTGTAAGGTTCGAATGGAAAGCTGAGAACATCTACAATGATGTTTTTTTATATATGTTTGATAGCTTTGTTGAAGGCGTTAAGTCAGCGCCGAAACAACGGTCAAACGGAAGGTTTCATGTGCGTTTGGCCGTCGTGGGGATAATGGTACAGGCGGAGAGCTCAGGTTACGCTTTGTCGGTACGGCGGCTCTCTCGCCGCGACCCTTCGGTTTTGTCCGTCCGTTTCCCGTACGCCAATGTCCCCCTCCCGTCTGTAAAAAACTGTTTGAAGCCTCAGCTTTCTTGTTTATGGGAAACGCGATCGACTGGCAAAGAAAGCGTTTTGGTTTTTTTCGGGATTGATGGATGGGTTTTTTTTGCATGTAAGCTAGTTAACCGAGCGACGAGTTTTTTGTTTACGGTTTTTATAAACGAACTGGCTTTTTAAGCATATTCTATGCTGAAAAATTACTCTAAAGGAGGCTTTTTGTCGACACACCGCATTTCATTTCGGGTATAGGCTTTCAGCGGCCGAGAAAAACTCGCGGCGACCGACCGTCCACGGTCGAACGTGTCGTCGGTAAATGCGATGCCACGTGGACGATGTGTCCAGCGACGCGGTGACCATTTGCTTCGGTAGAGGAGCTGTTGTTTACTCTTCTCCCTCACACCTGTTCCATCTTTAAGAAAGTAGTATCGAGAAGCAGATACTCTCACTCTACTACTGCATCAATGACATTTGACGTGGCATGAGTTGAAAGTCCCTCCTTGGAGCATTGACGTAATTCATTTCTGTCGGATGCCACCATTGCAGTTTTATAATATCATATTTCAGTACATCGGTCCGTTTTTTTCTCAGACCGCCCTTCGCTTTCATCTTTCATACCTAAGTACTCATTGTCCGCTTGCTGTGCCTCCAGTTTCAATGCATGTTCTCCGAAACTAGGTGTCTAAACTGCTTTGCCTGTGCCTCTGCAAAATGAATACTACTGAATCTTTGTTTCTATTTCCGTCCAGCTCATGTGAGAGAGTCTTAAACTTATAACTGTTTATGCCGGACATTGCTTAACCTTTGATAGTTGTTCATTTCTTCTCATACAAACGAAACTATTCGCGCTTCATTCTCGGTTCTCACGATAGATGGCATAATGCTAATAGTTGTTCATCATATAGTATTTGGGATAAATTTTGACGAAGGCAATCAGTCTTGTCTTTCACAGGTGGGCCTCTAAAATAAACCTGCCTTAAAGGCATTGTAAAAATAATTCATTTCTTGGATATAGTGTAGCTGCCGCAATCATAATAAGCATTCACGCTGGGCTATTTTCTGGCATCGTAATAATAGTGAAAATATAGCCTGATATATGACTTAGCGCATTAATGAGTATGGCGTGATGTACTGTAGGACCAGACGATACGGCTGAGATTAGCATGGTTGCTAAAATGCAGCACGGCGGGCAGCTCATTGAATTGAATACTGTACTTTGACTGAAGTTTACTGTAGGGCAATGAAGAGCGTCTCGACGTCACTGCTTCGAGGAACTATACGTTGTCTAAGATTTTCGAAGATTACTCAGCCAAACACGTTATATTTTAATATTAGATGGCTAAAAAATATTTGCATTGATTGGGAAAAAATTCCTCGTCACGATCAGGCCTCCGTTGAGCTCCTTCAGCCATGTGAACTGCTGGCCACTGACCCTTTATTTTCCCGTCTAGCTACATCCATAGCAATTGGCAAGCCAATGATGCTTGATTGTTTCGCAGAAGATGAGAGAATCACACCAATCTGAGCACCTTGTAAATGTCATGAAGTGAGCTTATTACGCCTCAGTCAGTTTTCGCGAAGAGCCTCATTTGTTTGTGTGAAGGCACCCTCCAGAGTAACAGAGGGCTAGTGCTATTATGCTCAGCGCAGTATGCTACCGATGAATGTGCACAATGCAGCGCAGGAAAACTGTCGCATAATTTAATCCGCTGAGAGGAGTGTAATGAGACTGAATAATGACCTGCTTAAATGTCCCTCCCTCCCCAGGCAACTCCGAGGAAAGAATTGGTACAATGAGCCGTGCGATCAGGCCTTGCAGGAGTTTTGCGTTATTTGACATATTCCGGCATACGAACATATTTCATGTTTATGCGGTTGCATATTAAGAGTACAAGTAAATAAAACATCGTTTGTGATTAGTGCAAGGTAGTTCTAGCGAAAAATAGTGATGCAACTAGTAAAGTGTCTAAAATTGTTACGTGCTTCAACAACATGGAACCGTGGCCCGCTTTAACGCCGTCCTTCCTTTCCCCACCATAAGCAACCAGGAGCAAGGAGGGTGCAGTAAGCCGAGAAATATGGTTTGGAGGAGTTTTGCATTTAGTGCAATGGAATGCATTATGTGCAACATGACACAGTGCATATGGTTGACGAGAAGTATGGCTAATTAGGGCAGTTTTTCTAAACCATACACAAAATCTTCACCACAAAATGCAGAGTATTCAAAGGCTTGAAGCTGGTAAAGAACAATAAACGCACTTCCATTTACGTACCAGTAGATGGTAAATTAAACTTTTGGTCAGGTTGTGATTTTAACGTTACCTCTAGACCATTAGTTCCTCCACAAGGTAAACCAACTTCATTCAAGTACAGATTTAAACGACTCTCAATGAAAAATCATGCTTTACACCGCTTGGCGGAACGACCAGGAACAAGAACAATAGACGTTAAGGTCAAGGGATTTTTGGAAGAAAACTGGGCGAAATCTGAATACGGTAATCAGAGCTTGTGGAGATCCAAACGTTTCACCGATCCATCTGGTAAGTCACGAAATGGAGCTAGTTTACTTTCATACGATGCATATCGACATGAAGATCAAAATTGAAAGAAGACAAAATTCCTGTTTGTACAATGCCGTGATAATGACTTGCACGCCGGAAGTCGATAGGTTGGATTAAAAGAGATAGGGAAATGTTCGATCACGTCGAAAGTCGTTAGTTTGAAAACGGAAAGAATTCTAAATAACATTTACCGCCTTGAAAATGACATCCTGAAGATATTAAAGGTTAAGGAGCGCAAGTTTACAAATTCAGTATTATCTAGTGTATATTTATGCTATAGTGATCTTCACAACCACTGTAACTCAGTAAATCAGATTGACCCATTTGCTTGAGCAACATAAGATGCTATCAGCAAAGAGTTGCTTCATTATAATCTACAAACCAAAACTGTACAGGTAATTACAGAAATCAACATTACGTTTTCTCGCTTCGTCTAGCTGCCTGAGAATCCTATCAAGACGTGGCAAAA